GAACACTAGATCAGGCCACACTAGATTTGCCACAAAATGGCACCCATTTTGACGAGTGGAATATAAACAAATGAGAATGTGATATGGTGGCAGTGGGATAAGAGGGTAAATAGTAGATATATAGGCCAGAACTGGCCATCTACTAACTCGTAAGAGACAAGTGAAGTCAATCCCTCGATAAACGTTCTGCTGAAAACGGTTACACCATCACTCCTCTTTCTGTCCTGGCCTATCTATCTACTCTTTACCCTCTTATCCCATTGCCGCCTTATCACAACTTGACACTTGTTTACATTCTAATCGTCAAAATGTGTGTCCTTTTGTGGCAATTCTAGTGTGGCCCCATCACAATTGCTATCTACTCCGACCCCTCACACACACACACAAAATGGCACACATTTTGACGATTGGAATGTAAACAAGTGAGTTGTTATGATAGGGCAGGAATGGGATAAGAGGGTAGAGTACATAGATAGATCAGAACAGAAAGAGGAGTGATAGTGTGACCCTTTTCGGCAGAACGTTTTTTTGAGGGATTGACTTTACTTGTCTCTTTGACGAGTTAGTAGATTGCTCCGGAGAATTGCAAAACTCACTGATGATACCGCCTACGATGCCGGCGAAACGTATGTGAATATACCAAGTCCACTGTCTGATGCTTGGAATCATGACAACTACTGTGGCAGACGACCTCGGACTAGGTCGATTCTATTAAGTCGCCCTGACAACAAGACCAAGTTGCAACAACTAGGTCAAACCACTTATATAATGGAAAATAAAGTCACAAGCAACACAGATATGGTGGCAATGATCGAGTAAAATCAAGGGAAGATAAGAAACTATTCTTCTAAGACAATGGGAAACTCTAATGGAGCCTGAATGAAATGGATTGCAGAGATTGAGGGTCAAGCCAGTATTTCCAGTACAATGGAGAGATGAGAAAACCAGTTTTGAGTATGAATGTCTCACTAAATCCACTTTAAAGCTTTGATATATGCGAAAATAAGCAAGCTAGAAGTTGTGATGGTGGTGGCGATGCAAGAATATGGAGGTGAAACACAACTGTTCAACAGAAGGTTAGTCAATAGATACACTTCACTTGTCTCTTTGAAAAGTCGTAGTTTGGTACAAGAATAGCAAGGTTCACTAGCGGTGCCAGCGTAACGTATGGGAATGTAGCGGATACACTGTCCGATACTCAAAATTATCATAGCTACAATGCAAAGGACTTCTAAGAAGATTTGGTAAGCTAGCTATTTCTAATAGCATGAATAAGAATGAAAACAGCATTTAAGGAACTAAACAATTATATTTTTTAACATATCTAAAATAATCTAAATTTTATAAATCTTGTACTAATCTATATCAGAGGGAACAACTAAGGATGTTTACGTTTCCTTGCTCAACTACCTAGAAGCCTGTATAATCCACGAACTAACAGACATTCTTTTAGTAACTATGACCAAATAAATAAAGCCAGTAAATGAATTAAGAATTTAGTCACTTGAGTTCGCCTAAGGTGATTTACAGAATGATAGTTGGGTTCTCCAACAATGGGACGAGTATACCTGACATGGAATTTCACCTAGCTTTGCCTCCAAAGAAGCTATCTCATCCAAGATTGACTGCATTTTTGACCTCACCTTCGTCCATAATGCTATAAGGCAGCAAGTAATATTATAGATTATATCACATCAAGGCATACATTCTTAGAATGTGCGAGTGACTAAAAATAGAACATAATATTCTATATAAATAAGCATTTTGAAAAAATAAACCACGAATACAAAAATATTGTTTAGCTAATAAAGCAAAGCAATAAGAGCTTGCTCTGGTTCACTTTGTTTCATTGAAGCCATCCATGTGAATGCCGACGCCTATCAGCCGAAGAGCCGATATTCGCGTAGCCAGACAGAGTCCAAGTTCATTAGAAGAGATAGAGGCTTGGATTGAATCCGTTTGCACGGAGGGTGAACAGCAAGGATTGTCTGTGCAGGAACCGGTGATGGCAAGAGCTATAAGAGCTGGAATTAATGGAAATCTAGTATAAATGTTAACTGATACCAGTTATAAAACTATAAAAAAATGTAGCTAATCATTTTTAAAGCCTTAATATCAAAACTAAAACCCTAATGACAGCCACAGTCAAATGGAGATTATATATAATTCCAAAAAGGGGCAATAGTTCAAAGGCCCTCTTCATACATTACATAATAAAATTCTTCTCAATAAAATGAAAGTCCTAGTTCTCGAGATTGTTATCTAAATACCCAAAAATTATTTCAGAACTTTTAATAAAAAAGTAAATAAGTTCCTTTCTATATTCGAAACTATTATGAGATCCTAAGGCAAAAAAATTTGACAGTATGTAGAAAACTAATCTAAGAAGAAGAATTAAAAGCAGATATGAGCTGATAATGAGGTGGGAATTATAGATTTGAGAAAAATAGGAATATTGGTAGAATAGTAGTCGATTTTCGATTAATCTCATAAAATAACAGAAATATTTATATTAAGATATGGCTTGTGAATATAGTAAATTTAATCAAAATGCTAAACTACCATAAAATTCGCAAAATATCCATACGTATCTTAATAAAAAAAGGAAGCGAAATTGCTACAACAGAGAAGACAACGTCACTTATATTCTGCATGCATGAAAATACTAAGATATGCGCGGCATGTGTTGGCTGGAAATATTAATATCGATGACGAATATTATGAATTCATTTAAATTCACTATTATAATGACTAGTTCGACGGCTTGCGTAATCGATAATGCCTCCAATAAATGTTTTTTTTGGGAGGCTTGAATGCCGTATCTGCTACCTAGTATCAATCGTCATTTAGTGGAATGGCAATTTGCCCCGGCATATCTTAATAACTATTTTGGCTTGCCTTTATTCTCCGAATGAGTGAAGTAGGGTCGCGAGTCCATTTAAATAAAATGCGGGTTTCAAAGAATCTCATGAGACAAGATTAATGTGAAGACTTTCATTTCGTATGGAAGATGCGTAGGCTAAACTCATTAGAAGACGTCGGCTGATTCGCATTGTATTGCGGCCGTTTGGCATTAATACGGCGTTCAGGTTGATGCAGCCCACGATACAGCTTTCAACGTTTCGTGGGAAGACATGCTGAGGTCTCGTTCGTAATGTGACGAACATCGTTATAGCTGCGATTCATTCTTATAAAAGCCTCAAGTTAAGACTAAGTCAAGAATAATAACCGGCTTTTTCCCTATGCTATATATACTAATTACGAGCAAAAATTGAGATATAGATGGACATAGAAAGGTTTAGTTAATTCACGTATACTCTAGTATCTTATGACTGGTTCTGCGTATAGACGCTTACATACACACATAGACATACTAGTGTATACGTGAATCAACTTAACCTTTCTATATCCATCTATATCTAAAATTTTTCTCGCAATGAATATATATATATATATATTATAGAAAAAGGCGGTTATTCATCTTGATTTAGTCTTAACTTTAGGCTTTTATAAGGATGAGTCCCAGCTCTGACGATATTTCTCACATGACGAACGAAAGCTTAGCCCGTCTTCGCCCGAAACGTTGGAGGATGTCTCGTGGACTGTATCAACCTGAACGTCGTATTAATGCGAAATGGCCACAGTACAACGAGAATCAACCGTCTTTGGCTAGAATGACCTACGAACCGCTTCCACATATACTTCCATACGAAACGAAGTTTATCACATTAACTTTTAAGAGTAAATCAAGCTATAATCGATGTAACATTTAAGGAGTAATTTAGACAGGAATATAACCCTCTAATCTAATTACAATTAAATGCTGTGTAATAGGACCAAATTCAGAAAAAGTATTGAAGCAGTTTTAGCCTTGACTTAGCATTTATCGACTGAGGAGATATAAACAGTTCATATTGAATTAAATATAATATTAGTAGTCGATAGCGTAAAATGGGATGAAAATAGAAATGAGAAAAATGTATTGGATTCCAAATTAATCTGAATCCCAGCGAGTCTAAGCACCAAAGTCAAAACTCGAAAGTTATTTAGAATGTAACGGTTAGAACAGTTGGAAATAGATGATGCAGCTACTTATTAAGCCAATATAGTTTACAATCAAAGAATGAATACTGACCGAGGGTCACCGGGTGCTCGATGGTTGATTCCCAAGCAACAGTACACTCTAAGGAAATGTGGTGCAGACGTTTAGCCAAGCAGCTCGCGTTGGGGGCATCAGAGGCTGGCTGAGAATCCATCTTGGTATCATATATGCCAGCTGTGTTCTCCTGAGAGGCATTATCTGCAATGAGATTTAAGCAGTAGGGAAAGTGAGTTAGGTAAATCATAAATATCACAATTGCTAAGCGGAAAGATGCATGATTTGCTTATTATCCTTCAAATTTTATTTAATTTGGTTTATTCGATAGCTCTACAGAGATTGAGAGAAGACAATTCGATTTTTAAAAATTTAAATTATATATATATGTATATATGTGTAAGAGGCAATTAACAAAAAAGAGAGCAAAACAACCTCGATACAATTTGGGGTCTACGAAAGTATGCTCAAATAGATGTAAAATGGAAATTGGGATAAGAAGTGAATGTCTTAGAAGTCCCAAAAAAATCTGTTATGGTAACCAACAAAAGTAAACTGATGATGACTGAGGTGGATTTAGGTATCTTTATCGTTAACATACCCGTCTCGAGCAAGTGAGATTTAGCCATCGCTAGTAGTCTACCGAAGGTAAAACCGGCATCAAGAGCTTCAACTGAGAGACAAGCTGACAAGATGCTGGGATTGGATAAAATAGATAAAAAGTGAATAAAAAATTTTCTAATATACAAAATAACATCCTACTTAAATGTTCTCTAAAGCATTTACAATTTGAAAAGCATGTCCACGGAATGCACAAGGACACTTAGAATAAAAATTGGGCAAAATAGTATTGATGATGCATACATTTCAATCTGGAGAGACTGCTTAGAAGGCACGCGAGCAAACGAGCAATGCTCAGCGAAATAAAATAAGAAAATGAAATGAGTTCGATATTGGAGTACCTTCCATTTAGTTCGAAGAGGCGAGTATAAAAGATTCGTAAGTTGGTCTCACTGGTAGCTGCAATGAGATTAATGCCTTGGAACTGTGACTAGATTTGTGCGAATAGAACATCGGCTCACCGCCCTGCGACCCCGATAAATCCTTGCTGATATTTCGTTAACTATGCGACAAACATCTTCAGAGCTAGACAGCATGCATATTGATAATTCACCAAAACACTAAGACAAAAAAGGTAGCCAACCCACATAGTCCAAATTTGTCGACTTGGTTGGATATCCTATGCTTTGCCTAGATGTTTGTTGAAAAGCAAAGTTAAGTGGCTGCGTGAAACGGATGCAATTGTGACCGTACAGCTGCATCTCACCCTCTTAAACAAACGCTAAAACCTTTGATCTTGCAATGATACCGCATGTGATTGCATTTCAGTGCACGCGTGTCGTTTCAATGCATGGTTAGTTAATGAGTGTGATGTGAGATTCAAAACAATAGACAAGCCTAATCAAGCCTCCTCCTCTTGTTCAGCGTTATTTCTCGTTCCCCACCCTCTCGCGCTAATCCTATCCAACAGCCACAAATAGTTTCCACTTAACTTAGACTAAGTCCTTCTATTCAGTGTGGCTGTTTCATGGATTTCTATCTCCTCCCCAATCTTTTCTTACGGGTATATTCCCTATATCCAGCTAGGCGATTGGCACTAGCCTAATCTTACTGGTGTCCTGTGTGAGGCATGTGTTTGGCCAATTCCGATTTTTGGATCCACATGCGCTTAAATAATGTTCTGTGGTCAGATAACCCCTTACGTATAAGACTACAGATCTCTACCACATATGAGCTACAGCATGAACACAAAATCTTGTAACAGGCCGATCCGGAGAGTAAGAATAATATAAAAAAGAAAGAGTTGCAGAGGAAAGTGTTATTTTCTAAATAATTCGCCTTTATTCTCCGACAAATTACACAATTGCAGCATAAAGATTCTGGTAGAGTCGTGTGGCCCTTCATATAGCCCCAAATATACATTTCCCTCCATCCTATTTTACAAAATGATACAAAAATTCTTAACCAGTCGTCGAAAATAATTGTTCTCAACCAGAATTCTCCTTAGTCTCCTCAATTCCTTGTCCCGATGATTAACATCTGCCAGACACAGGCTCCTCATTATCATATACGTCAGAACTCCTACTGTAACTCCATAAGTGTGGTTGGAAAATAAATGTGGTATATGCAAAGAAAAATTGGGTTTCGATAAATCTCTTGTTTCATAATCGTTACTTCCATTTCGAGTGGAAATATTTGAAGAGATTCGAAGGTTGATTCCACCAGAAGACCACGGCGGATTCCTATTGACCTGCTGTCGATTGGCTTTACAGGGACATTAATGGTAGCGCTCGACAGCTAGTCAAGAGGAATCCGCCGTCGTCTTTTGATGGAATCGACCTTTGAATCTCTTCATCAAATACTATCACTGGAAATGACAATAAGCTCAACAAAGAAATTTGAGTTTCCTATACACATCTCTACCCAATCTGGTCCTCTGCTAACTAGAACATCAAGGAGTAAACCACCTTTCTTTTCTAACTATAATGAATTTCGTCTTCCCACCGATCCTATTCATCAAACTAACAAAAATCTCTAGGTTTTCTTTGCCATGTTGCCAAATAGCAAAGTAGTCGTCTCTATAGCGAACTAATAATTTAGGGACTAAAATTACCTCCTGAATTAGGCATTCCTGAAATTCAGACGTAATTATTTGCTAAAATTGGTGAGTAACATGACCCCATAGATAAATATTGTGTTTGCTCGTACATTTTACCATTAAAGGTAAAATATGTACAGCTCATCGCCACCTTAGTCAGTATCATCGTTGACACTACTCAACTTTGTACTCCATAAAAAGTCCGCGTCTTGGTCTAGTGTGGATTGAGGAGCCTGTATGGCATCGTAAATAGCAATGTTAGTGTACATAGACTTAGCATCAAAACTAACCAACAAATCCCCACTTTCTATTTCCTGCTCATCGACTAAATTAACTAATTCATAAGAATTCCTAACTAAAACCTCCCACGTTTCGGAGAGTTGCTTAAACTGGTTACAAATAAATCGTGATGTTTTATGCATCGGACTTACCTTATTATTCAAAATAATTCTAAGTGGGACCCTATCTTCATGTATTTTAGGCAGATCATATGCATTCGGAGGCCTAGCATCCCGTTAAAGAAGCGTGTTCATCTTTAATTCCTCCAGTTCCTCGGTTATTATACAGTGATAAGTTGAACTTTACAAATGTGATTAATAGTGCACTAGCACAATTTAAGCAAATGAACTAAAGAAATGACAAGCAGACACAAAAACCAATAGTATCAAAATCCATGCGTACAAGCCATAACACAAGGTAGGTTGCAGAATTGCAGTATTATGATGCTAAAACAGATAATCAAATATTTGGCAATGGGGCAATATTTGACTCACCATTCAGAGTCACTCGTTGGTCCGGAAGTAAACAATATATCAGGAGAGAAAGAGGCTACCATGAGTTGAGCAATCAAATTGTTTGTACATTGAGCTCTGGCGAGCAAAATCAAGTAGCTTGCCATTTCCTCTAAATGTGAGAGTGATGAGGATGAGGAATTTGATACAGTGGTTGTTTGCGGTGGTGGCTGAAGGAGAGAATCAACAAGCTGGAGTGCCTCTCGAGAGAGTAAAGGCCAACTTGTCTCAGGTGCCTCAGCATCAAAAGAGTTAGTGTCCTCGCTAGGGTGAAGAAACTCGTAAAGAGTCCTCAGAAGACAATGACTCACTCGGACTGTCAGCTGCGCCCGAGCAAGCTGGCTACAATGCCGACTGCACTCGGGACTAGATACAGAAGATGCAAGAGTTGACGCTATCGTGGAAGCAGATGGCGCAGCTACCTTTTCAATATAGTTTTTTGCCTTGGGGGCTGCAGAAGTTTTTAGCTCGAGACGAGAGCAGGTTGAGAGAGCTTGGACGACAGGACCAAATAGACTCTGAACAACAGATAGTCGCAAATGGGCATGGCGGCCTGGTAGAGAATTATCCCTGTCATCAGACCTAAATTTTAGACGCTATGAAGTGGCAGCACGGAGTTAAGATAAGTGGAGTTGAGTAAAAAAAGTATGATGGAAGAGGAATATAGACATGGAGCGTCAAGGTTGAGCATAGAGCATCAAGAGTAGTAACAACAAAGCAGAGCATAAAAATAACTGTCGAGCATAGGAGGAAAACAAGAAGTATTTGATAATAAATAGATATTTATTCCATTTTCTTATCCAAGAAGGTTGTCCTTCATATTGTATGGGAGCGGAATAGAAAGTTGATCTAAATCGATTTGGAACAGCGATATAACTTTCTTGAATAAAATAAAACAAGACATGAAAAGTAAGACTTAAATTCACTAATACTTAATTTTTTTGCCAGATATTTCTATTAAGTGGTAAAAGATGAAATATTAGCCCTATTTCAGTTATTATTAAACTTTACTTTAAACATCCGAGGCGCAAATGATCTTTTAAGAATGAAATTCAACCATAAAATGACAAGTAATAAAGAATGAACAATTTGATCGTGGAAATTAATACCAAGACGGCGGCTTTTGGTATGGTCTCAGTCTCCTTCAATTGAGTTTGTATTATCTTTTTTTCACAACTTGATGGGGACGATAATGAAATCCAGCGCCGAATGATATTATAATCATGGAAAGTTTCAGTAATAGATCGATAACTCGGAATATACGCATAGGTTTCGCCGACATCATAGCCTCCATTGTCAGAGGCCCTATCGTTAGTATGAACCCACAATTCTTCATTAGTAATTACACAAGGATCATATGAAATAGACAGTTCAGGAAGAAAAGAGAAGACAAGACATAGAGAGGAAGGACTAACTTTACTATCGTCATTGTTAGAATAAGGTATAACAAGATCTCTCAAAGGAACACAAATGGCGCCTATGATCGAGCTAAATTTTCAAGATGGGGCTTGATAATAGACTCACGTGCGTAAACAAAATTTAAAGGATGTGTAACAAGAATGCATATAAAGCCTCCCGAGTTCAGCTGCCATAATTGATAGAACGTTTCGTAAACATATGAAGTAAAGAGCATGCTTCGCAAAACAAGATAAAGGAAGATATATGAATAAGGAAATGTGTAAAATGTATAGACCTTTACGTAGGACCAGAGGTACACAGGAGTTATCAACCTAAAGAAGCGGAATGACCTCATTTTTACAACTCGGTCTTGTGTGAGGGAGACTTAGTGGGACGCGCTTTGTAGTTACCATAATTCCCAGGGTCGGGCCGTAGATTCGGTGTATTTCCAGACGTTTCGCAGGCATCTTCAGTGAGTCTTGACATTCTCTGCACCAAGTTACAGCTCATAAAAGCAAGTGAATTCAATCCCTTGATCAACTTTCTCAAAACACGATCGTGCTATCACTTT